TAGACATCAGTGATGTGTGTGTGCTATTAGCTATGCAGTAGAATTCACTGTTGTCAACACTGCTAATGTAAATAATTATGTAATGTAAATAAAACCATACTATTTTAAAGGTTTCAAGAAATTAAGGTTATCAATAAGCTATCAAATGTGTTTGTCTATTAGTACTGTTGATAAATTAAGTAGCAAATGTTATTGGATAAAACACATCAGCAACTGCCTCAACATTTAAATGTACACTCTAAAATAAATGGTGCTAAATGGCACTAAAAGTGGTTGCTGGGTCGTAATCATAGGGGAACCATTTTAGTGCTATATAGCACCTGAACCAACCCAAAGAACCACTGAATAACTTTTTTCCTGTGTGTAGTGCTGAAAACATAAATCAAAGAAGTAACTTGTAACAATCTTGTTTGAATGTTACAGGGACAGATGAGCACACACATGTGCTTATCCGGTGGAGAGTGGCTAATGAGGCCCTCTTCACCGGAAAACGAAATGCAGCCATTAAAGGCTTTGAGTGAGTATACTGCAGAAACCAATGAAACCTGATGTCATATGCTGTTAATTAATGTTATTTCAAACAGATATTACAGAACTTTTCTGATTCTTGATTTGTGTGCAGAGCTTTTGTGATGGAGCAGGGCTTGCAAGACAGGGTGATGGCGGCCTTTGTAAAAAAAATGTGAAAACCTGAAACAAAAATATAAAGTAAGATCATGTTGTTATTTCTAATACAGAAATCAGTTGACATTGTGCTGTTAAAATTACTTATTTTGTTTGGTTTGTGCATTTTTGTAGGATCTCAAATGTCCGGCAACCAGTGTGAGCACTGAGGATGGAGAGCCCACAGCAGCATCTTGGAAGTGGTAAAGGGCCATGGAGGAGGCAATTGGGTGCAGACCCTCCATCGTTTCACCTGCCCTTATTGCCTCATCTGGCCCGGATGTTGCTGTGGCCTCTACATCCTCAGTGAGCTCAGCCCCAGACACACCAAGGGCATCAAGGAAAAGAACCCAGAAATCAATTGAGAATCTGATCAAGGAGAGGGAAATGACAAGAGAGCAGGAAGCAGTCGAAAGGGAGGAGAAAAGATTGAGAGAAATGGAGGAGAAGGAGGAGAGATGAGAACGAGACCGACAAGAGCGGGAGGAGAGACGACATACTGAGGACAGAGAAAGAGAAGAAAGGTGGTGCCGAGAAGCAAGTCAAAGGGAGGAAAGATTACTTCGCCTCCTTGAATCAATAAAAAAAAATAATAAGTCCATAAATAAATAATGTTTATGTATATTTAAACGTGGATTTTTGTGAAGAACAAACATATGTTTTAAATGAGAATTAAATTTCTCACACACACACACACTCACACACACACACACACACACACA